AGTGGGCGGTGTAACCACAAACAGGACCCACACACATAGACTTCACATGAGTCTAAAGCTATGGTGTCTACAGTGTACGCCTGTGTGTGCGTGCGTGTGTGTGTGTGTGTGTGTGTGAGAGACGGGGGTGTAATAGATACAGTTTTAAATAATTCGGTCGACATCACTTCAGTTCAAACCATCAAAAACTGTACTGGTTTTGACATTTCACAGTTTACGATACAGGCAGGGTGATAATGAGCGGACTTTATCAGAGTTAGTATGATCAGCTCGATTTTGGCAGAACAATTTAAATCCAGAGACAGCCCTTCAATCAGAGCAGTCGCTCCAATTAAGACACAGATTAGAATCTCTGATCATCGGCGTTTCGTCACCAATCACAGACGCGTGCTTGAATTTTTTTTGCCATCTTTACTTTTTATCCTGTGATTGAAAATCAGTGCAGTTTTTCTGGTTGTTCAGAAATGTACAAAAAAACGGCGGCTTGGACGGATGAAGCTCCAACACCAGCGGTTACCAGATACCACTGGAGCGGCCGCCGGGAGGGGCCAGGATCCGAGCCGAGGACCTCTTCGGGATGTGGTCATCGACCTGAGACCCTGAAAGGAAAAACACGTACGGCACTATTAAATTTGATCGAGGACTTCGGTGTAACGTCACCATAATCAAGGACGATTTTATTAGAGCTCACCTGAGAGGCTGAAAGAGGACTCGTGAAGGTCTCGGATTCCGGTGTGCACTCGAGCGCAGGCTTTGTTGGGCGTCTCTCCATCTATGGGGCCCAAACCGAGTTCCTTCTTCATGGTGTTTGCAACCTTGGCCACATCACCAGAGTACGGATCCCTGTCCACCCCTTTATAAGCCTGAGTCTGAAACACGATGAGGTGAGAGGTGAGATTAGGATGTTTTAAACCTAATAATAGCAGCCAGTTGAGCTGCTGCTGTAAGATTGATACTGATTAATATTTGTTACATGTAAGTAACCAAGTTAAATTCCACTGAAGAAACACAAAACTAAAACAAGGTGTGAAAAAAACTGGAATTAAAATAAAAGCTAGACTAGAAAAAATAAAAAGATCTTGTGCACTCACAAAAATCATTCAAATGAAATAAAAACTAAAATTATCTCTAGTTTTAGTTTTTGTCAGCAGGCACGAGTACTTCTTTTGTACTAAAACATGTGTCCTGAAACTAGAAATGAACATACTCACTCTGTAAACTACCTGAAACTGAACTGAACTGTAAATATAAGTTCTTATAAAAACAGTTTCTGTACTTTTGAATGTTAACTTTGTGACAAGTTTTTTAAATAAATTGAGATAAAAAGGTCTAAAAGCAAACAGAGTAGAGAGGCTGGGATGGGGGGCTTTCACAGACAAGGGCAGCAGCAGGAAAACACAGTGCTGGCTTCCACAGGGAGCAGGAGCATTAATTCCTTTATATGGGCTGTCAGATCGGTGGAGTCAGTCACATCATGATGGGAGTGTTTGTGGCAGGTTTGCTGTCAGCTGACACAGCAGAGCTCAGCCTGGACCTCGCTGTCCTGCCCTGGAGTTTTAATTATCAGTGGAAACACTCACAACACACAGAGGCAGGTTTGGAATCAGTGTTAATAACGTGATGAAAGTGAACGCACCTTTTCCCTCTGCACCATCTTCTTGTAGAGGTAGTCGGGGAAAGTACGCTGTGGGTAGAACTTTCCGGACCCCTCGGCGCACATGAACACGCCGTTCTCACACACCAAACGCCCCCGGCTGATGGTGACCAGAGGGACGCCGTGGCAACGCATCCCTTCGTACAGGTTGAAGTCTCCGCCCTGCACCTGAGTGCTCACAGAGATTGTCCTGCACACACACACACACACACACACACACACACACACACACACACACAC